CGAATATTTTCAATCGGATTAAGATCCAACCATCCCAATGGCTAAAGCAGAATGTCGATGTTATTGTCCTGGAACCATTTCATTGACCACCAGGGTGCATATTATAGGGTATTATCTTGTTGAGACAGCCGCTTTTTCTTCCGAATCTTGGTTTCCGAGGAAGTAAATGCTCTCCTGAATTGTTTTGAGAACCGTGTTAGGTCAATGGAGTCGGACCAAACACGATTTCGGACCTCATCCCACGATCGATGAACACCCAGATCATGACACCATCTTCCCCGCTTTGTTTGTGGGTAAAGTTAAGTTTTCTTTCCCAAAATCATGAAAACAATACTTGTGCCTATCAGGGTCATCCAATGTAAATCGTTTTCGGCTCTAAATACGGAGTTCCCCGACATAGAGGTCCACATGGTTCGATATTTTACCCATTGCAATCGAGCATTTTTGTGTTTCTGGGAGAATACACGACTCATCTTCATTTTCCTGTTTCGGACGGTGGATAAAGCAGACCTGACTTCATTTATCGTTGATTTTGAATAAAGTAGCTCGTGAACCGCTTCAATCTGGTTTGCACTCATGCTGGAGTTGCTTGAGCGAAGGAAAATGATGAATTTTTGTCTCCTTACCATATGAGGCTAGCCTTCTCGCTTGTTTATTTCACCGGAAGTGGTCCCATTGGGCTTGAACGTTGTTATCGAATATCGTCAGTCAATTTGGTGCTTATCAATTTTTGAAATGTTTCACCGATCTGAAAGTAGAGCTTTTACCCTGCCCCTTTGCCAGATGGCCAGGAATTTATACCTCACTATGGCGTATCTGCAGAAAAAAAACTAATTTACCTCAGCTACTGACCAAAATATCATAACAGTCCTGATGATACAATTTCTTACTTAGATTCAAATTATTCTTGCCCAGTTTAATAAAAAACAATCGATCTTTTGGGACCTGTCCTTGTTTTATGAGCCACTTGAATTTCGTGTTTTTGTGGATTCCCAAGTTGTCTGATTATGAAGAAAGGTGAAAATTTGCGACAAGGCTACTAGGCCCCGTAGTATTTAATGGCGAAAGAAACATAAATATTTTGAAAGCCCTTTGAGAAATTGGGGAAAATGATAGGTGTCCTTGTTTTATGAGTCGCAGTGTACATTGCTTTATATCATCTGCTTTATATCATCTTTATGTTATCCACGAATTCCGGATAACAATTTAAAATGTATAAATGATTTAGCCGAGCTTGACCGAAAGTGTTAATTTACATATATAAGAAAGAATTTTTCTATTTCGTTTAATGTAATTCTGCAAGGGAGGTCTTGTGAGTTAAAATTACTCCGTAGGGATAATATTCCCACATGGGTGCACACATATATAAAAGCAGCTACCTGCTACACTCTCAAAAAACCGGTAACTAAGTTATTACCAGGCGGAGTATATATGTGACTCTACCGCATTGTAATTTATTTATTATTGAGTGGTAGAAAATTAGTTACCAACTGGTAATATTTTCTAAATTTCGAGGCCGGGGTTGTTACCGGTTTGGTAACAAAATGTATACCATTCAATAATAAATTAATTACCACGAGGTAGAGTCACATAGATACTCCGCCTGGTAATAACTTAGTTACCGGTTTTCTTAGAGTGCATGTTTTTCAATGCATTATTCTGTTCTTTGACGTTTCATATATACATATCTTCCGAATTGTGGTTCAGTTATATATTTCTGATTGAATTAACTATTGGAATTGAAAACCGACATAATTTATTCTTTGGTCATTTCATCACAATTAGTTTAAATCCATCCAGCGTGGTCCTTGTCTTTTTCTTAACGAAGCCATCTTTGATTAATTCAAGACATATAAATCTTTAAATTCTATACTTACTTTATACTTATTACTTACATATTTTACCAAATATTTCAGTAATACATATCACGTACAGAAGAAGAGTATATAGATGGCATATTTCCATTAATACATATATCCCACCTGTATGTATGTACATATTTCTAGCCAAGCGGACCCTTAGATTTAAGGGGTAGAATTACAAAAGGCGATTAGACATGGTTTTCACGACTTTGCGCTTGAATATCTCAAATTGGTGCAAATTCGAATTTTGAGTTGATTTTGATAGACAAGCAAGATAATACTCTCAAAAAGATATCTCTAAATTTTTAAGGCGATAGCTTCACAAATGTCCCCTCCAGAGCCCCCAGAGTTGGAATGTGGCAAAAACATACTTTCCAAACTTAATTATTCATGTGGCATGATAACCAAAGAGGTCAGAGGTGAAAAATTATTATTATTATAACCCTAGATAATGATTGTATCTAATAATGAAAGAATCCGTAATGAATAAAATAATGTGGGCCCTCCAGCATCGCTGATACTTTTCCATGAAAAGTGATAAATCGGACCGTGCACCGGGAAATTGACCTCCTGACCTTAAAAACGGACCGACCGGGTGAAATGAAGATTGAGGTCAAAGCTCTAAGTGTCCTAAGTAGTATTAAATTAAACAGGAAGATTTTGAGTAAACAGTTTTGTAGAAGGACCCGAGCTAATCAGCTGACGTGGAATCCTAAAAAACTCTTGAACTTATATAGAAAACTAATAGTCAAATTTTTTTGAAAACAAATTTTAATAAGTTTTTTGTGTCCCCTGCTGCAGAACTATTTTACCTACAAGGTACAAGTGACAAAATAATAAAATTACTGCGTTTTGATTAGTTAAAAAAAATTTAAAGTTCCGCTTCAATTTCGAGGAGAACTTTTGTAAAAATTTTATAGGGTTTGATGGAAACTCATTTCCTGGGGTGTAACCACTTATCAAAATTTTATCAAAAGTACTTACAGTGCAATATACTATATGTACCTTGGATATAAACAACGTTTGGTATTTTTAGTGTTAAAGTCCTAAAATGTGGGGGCCTTAAAAGTCGAGGAGTTGCGTTCGTGAGAGCATTCCATAGGACAACTATGAAGTTAAACTAGAAAAGGGACTTAAAAGATAAGCATGAGACAAAAGTGGTTTTATATAGTGAAAAACATGCTAAGTCTATTGATAATAGTCGCAAAGACGATTTCTGCACTAGGGCCTCAGAAAAAATCTTTTGTTCGACGCCATTTTATAAGAACACTGGTTTGGAAAACTAAAAAAGGACACCTCTGCAAATTTGACCTTGCCTCATGCCCCAGAGTGCACAACACCGGAAGCCAAATATGTTTACCTATAGTTCGAGACATGGGCTTTCACATAAAAAACGTTAGAAATCTCTCCAACGAAAACTCATCGCGTAATTTAATTGTGAATTTGTGCAAACCATGTCTAATCACCTTTTGTATTTTTCACAAATCTGGTAATAGGATTTTGCATACAGATAATTCTATCCTGCCCTGAGGACTTATACATCTTAAGACCATCTTAAGGATCTCCCAATGTCCGCAAAATAGATATCCAAAAGATGTCTTTTAGACCTGTTCTATCTTATATAACATGCGACACGTCTTAAAGAAATCTTTTGGATATCGATTCTGCGGACATTGGGAGATCCTTAAGATGTCTTTAAGATGTGTAAGTTGTCATTGGGTGGTCATTTTGTTCATGACGCAAAACACTATATTTATTACTGTACGATAGATTATAAATTTATCTAATCTTCAACGAAATAAGTTTAGCACTAAAGCCTAAAAACTAGTCGTATTTTAAGCAGCAACTGTTCCACTTGTATTTTGAACAAGTATGCTTTGTCATGTTCACGGCACGCTAAGTCTGCAAACAATTACTAAGCATTGACATCAATATCAATGTATTATTTGTACTAATGATACGTAGGCATTGATTGGACCCCCAAGGTCATCCATTTTTTCTAAATCTGTCCCAGGACCGCAGTATCTATATATAAACCACAAATTTTAACTTTTAGACTGGTTTATGCTCTAATAATGTAGTAATAATTTTATGCACCATTTACCGATATCCAGCTAAGTTAAATCTGAGTTGCGATTATGCTTATTTGCAGTTGAGTTGCTTGCGTGAATTGCTGCTCTTCGAACTTGTGCATCTAATTTTTGCTGTGTGCAATATTGCATTCGTCTTGTGTACCTCTGCGCGTAGAAGTTGCTTAACAGGGTCAACGTTAGTACATGGGTGTCGTTAAAAATTGATAGATATGAACAACCCTCAGGTAGGGGTCCATTTAACTCCAAAATAAAGTGGGATGCATTCTCAGCAGTACAATTGATTGAATATTCGTTTTAAATGCTTCTAAAAGACTTTGGAGCTTATAATATTTCCTTCCTCGATGGCCTTCAGGAGCAAATAAGCCCTTTTCTCGGATAAAACTTTCATTCGAGTTGGGAAAAGTAAAAAATTGGTTTTTACTGGGAGGTGATTGTAGAGTTGTCGATAAGCATAAATGGATAAATGTTGCTGATGCTGGTCGAAATTGTCGACCCATAGTGGGCCTGACGATACCCATGATTCTTGGGCCCATGCATCATGTTGAGTCATGTTTATTATGATCCCCAATTTCCTTAGTAAAGTAAAATCTATGCTGTTTTTTTGTAATAAAAGCAATTGGTTGAATTGCTCACTTCTATTGTGGAGCAGCCGGATAGATGAGTTAACACTCTTTTTGAATAGATGAAATTTGATGGGATATTTTTCTGGTGACAATAGTGCGATCGTATTACTTTTTCGTAGAATGCCGACAATTTTTTTGTAAGCAAATTATAATTTTTTTTCCAAGCAAGATAATAAAAAAATTAATTAATTAGACTTTTTTCCCAAGCAAATGGGAAACTTAAGTCCGGGGTCTGACCTTCCTCGTCCAAAAAAGAGTTCCACTCTGGGGGAGTGTTGAACGGGTCATTGATACCAAAAGCTGCATATCCCTCGTACATATAATGCCGAATTGACCGAAGCATCTAATTAATTAATTTTTATTATAAGACCAGTTGGTTTTACAATTACATACAGTTAATTAATTACAATTAATTTACACAGGCAGGAGTAGTTACAAGGATGTGGTAAGTTTACGTTCAATATTAAACTTGTCGAGTATTATTTCGGTAGGGAAAAATCGGGGCTTTAGATAAATAATACACAATAGGGAGCTTAAATATCATATTCGAATTTTAATCGACGCTATGTCGTTTGAAATTATGAGTTACCTTAAAACGTCACTCATAAAATGCTAACCAAAATTCCATAATTCGATCGTGGAAAATTAATATGGAAAATGAAATTATTTTGCAAAATTCAATATCTTGGAAAATTGTGAAATCGAGGCAGATGTCAAATTCTAGTCAAAATAATTTTTAAAATTATTTCCCGTCATACAAAATTTGAGACAAAAATCAAAATTTGCAAAAAATTCGCATATATTGGTTCAGATCTCGAAAACCACCAATGCACCCCCCATTATTATTACGGATTCTTCATGTACAAAAAATTACGCAAATTTTAAGCTATCAAACTTGACAATCATCCGAGCACGAAAAAAACACGATTTGATTGTATATATCTATCTTAACTATCTTAATTACGAATATGTACAACTGTCTATGAATTTGTCAACTTGTTTGAGAAATATCTTTAGCCTCCCATGTGTCTTGAATATTTACCCGTACTTGGTAATTATGTATGGAAGGAATATGTCATCATTTTTGTATCGTCCTGTAAGTAACAAGTAATAAATTATTCATTGATTTTAAGTAATTTTAATGATATAATACATAATATTTGCTTACTCTCTTTGATATGAATATAGGTTATAATATGTAAATAATGAATCACCAAGACACAAGATATTAGGCAAATTATTTCCTAAGCTTGCATAGTTTAATGCAAATTGATGTAATTGATTAATTTATGCATACATATGTACAAATGAAAACGAATGATACGAAGAAATAAATAAAACTATAAAGTATAAAGAAATTTGACACGATGAACTGACTAATATATGAACATATGTACATAAACATGCAAAATGAAGATATGTATCATGCAGGCAGGGCCCGTGAGAGGGACGGGCAGTTGCCCGGGGCGCTGAGGCGCCAAGGGGCGCCGAGTGGGCGCCACGTTATATGATATGTTAAGCAATTTATTGGCATTATCGTTGTAAATTGAAATAAGTTTTATCTTTTGAATATTCTGCAACAACGAGTGGCATCATTCAGTTGTCCATAAGTAGGGTATTTATGTGCGTCACCCCACCATTAGGTTTTATGGATTTTTATTTCGTGGGATTTTCCTCAGATTTTGAGGAAATTTAACTATTTAAATTTCTTTAAACCATATATAGCTTCAATATTAATCAATGATGATATTGAAGTGTTCAGATTCAGCATGAAATTTTGAGAATTTTCATTTTCATTTGGATTTTAATTTCGCATATCATTGGCATATACATGAATCCTAAGGTCTTGTATCAATCTAATTTATTCAAGAACCCCCCAAATCCTCTTAAAAATACAAAAGCAGGTAGTAGTTTTCCTGAATATCCCCATTTTTATTTCGAATGCCGACTTTGAGTTTAACATGTGAAATATTTGTGACACAGAAATGAACCACTTTCTACGAGAATATGTAGGAGTGCCAAAATTAAAATTTTGTTTCCCATTCACAATGCGACTCTTTAACATGTAAAATTCAGGCAATCTTTAATTGTTTTGCAGGCAAAACCTCGGGTTTTCAAAAACCTTGAACTTTTCGAATTTTACAACGACTTAAGGTACCAGAAGAAGAACTTCCCTAGAAACGGGTTGGGCTTGACCCCCGATTTCGACGGTTTGTGGAATTTAGAAAATTTTACTCTCTAAGCAAAGTTGGAGTAAAATAATTATTTTTTAAAAAGCAACATTAACTAAATGAGGTCAATGGTAGTGTGAAAATTTTATTACAACCGAACATCGATTTAGCATCGTTCAAAAATTAGCCACTCATGAACCGATTATTCTAAAATTTTGATTTTGTGCTTAACTTGTGCCCAGGTAAATTATGGTGAGATTGGTGTTGTGAATGAAAAAATGTTAAAATGCAAGAATCGGGCTCGTATTAGAGCATTCTGAAAAACAAAATAATGGATATGCTTATCTTTTGCGAAAAAAATTAAATTTGTCAAATGTGCAAAGAATTTTAAACGTGAAAACCCTAGATTTTAAGCAGCATGATTTGCTTCTAAAGAAATCAAGCGGCCTAAACCATTGATAATCTAGCGAGAAAACCTAGAATATGTAGATTTTCTAGTCAATCAAAATTTCGAATAATTGATTTCTGGACTGGAGAAAAATACGATTACGGCATTTTTTGCCTCTTCAATAAAAATAGTATTTCGACACAGAAATAAGAAAAGTAAAATTGGGGCGGTAAAATATGTTTTTCCCGGGTAAATTTTTGGGCTCGTACGGGCACTGCATGCAGGTAATGATTTTAACTGTCCCTACTAATTCAAGAAAAAATGACTCTATATACTATAATTATGTACGTACAAAGCTATAATTGAAAGTACTGGCTTATTTATTAGACATCTTTGCATGCCTTTATTTACAGTGTTTAATTGTTAACATTTTACGTCACTGCTCAGTACCCAGTCCCTGTCGAATTTTTATTGGACACATAAATTACGCACTTTTAAAAATAATGTCACTCTTCTGAAAAATTGAGTAACTCTGAATTCTGTATTAAATAAACTATATATGTAAATATACTAAACCTATGTAGGTAAAGTTGACTTGATAAGGGGTGAAGTTTACGCTGGAATTTCTGTAGTTTGTAGTTAATTTAAATTTCAGAGTGAATTTATTTTTTAAAAAATGGTAACATAATTTTTACCCTACAGTCAGGTGCAAATCTTTAGAGCCACCTTTATTTTCGTCATAAATTTTGACCGCGTCGTCATAAAATTACCAAATTGGGCTAAAATGTGTGGAACACTATCGTACACAAGTGACAGGAGCCGAAAAGTCGAAATACAACGCAAACTATTTTTTTCTTGCTAAATGTAAAAAATTGGGGGTGCAAAACTTTAGAGCCACCTAGTTTATTTTTCGAATTTATCCTCTGTTTATTCGTCTGAAAATGAGTTTGCATTTTTAACTAGTATACCACCAGTTTCTAAGCCGATCGGCGTTAATTTTGGGATAACTACATTTTTCCCCGCATTTATGTTCACATTGGAAGGTAATTATGACCATTTCTATATGAAGCTCCGACAGTCTTCTTCTATTTTATCACCATTTTGGTGAGGTCCAACTGTTTTCTCGTAAAACAAAGCCGTGGAGGACTATGTAACGATTTGAGTGTCGCCGGCGTACTACAAGGCAGGTGGAGCTTTCTCGTGGTACAGTGGACCGGGAAGGTGGTCATGAATTATGCCAAGATCAGAATGTGAAGAATCAAGCCAGAATGGGTGAAGGAAACTCGTTTCGCAAGAATGTGGGCCAATATTCGTCATCTAAGAGTAACGAAAAAAGGTTGTGATGTCAAGAACACCCATCTACGGGGCAGTCTCAGATCGTCCGCTGACCTCAGTTCTAGCCAAATACACTGTGGGATATTGCTAAGAAAATATAAACAAACATTAAGCTTACTCGACGCTGATAACCACTTCAAACAATAATTTTTTTAGTGTATAGCGAGAGAAAGGAAAAAAAGTGTGCCGACTTCATGCTGAGTAGAATGTGTTGATTAACTTCGAAGAACTGAAGTGTAACACAGTCCTAGATATCAAAACTATGTGTTCTAATTGTTTATAAACTGAACAAATGTATTTAATACCAAATTTTCCGGGTGGCCCTAAAGTTTTGCACCTCCTATTTTTTACATTTGGGAAGAAAAAAATAGTTTGCGGTGTATTTGGACCTCGTGGCTCCTGTGACCTATGTAGGATAGTGTTCCACACATTATATACCAATTTGGTAATTTTATAATGACGCGATCAAAATTTCTGACGAAAATAAGGGTGGCCCTAAAAATTTGCACCTGACTGTACAAAATATTTCCTGGCTAAATGAAATATGAGACAAAATATATATTATAACTCCCTGACATTTTACATGTTAGGATTATGTAGCCTGGATTGCATACAGATAAAAAGGGGTCGGGTCGAATTCCGAGTAAAATTCCGTGTGGATTTTTAGCCTCGAAGGGTTAATTATTTATACTCCCGTAACTCTTATAAATTTAGCCCACATTTCTCAGAGACGAAGGCCCTTTTCTTTGCCGTGGTCAACCACGCCGTCCTCTTTAATAATGTCAGGCATCGAATTTTTTTTCTCATTACGATTTCAACCTTTCTCCAGTAAAGTGCTTAGAAGTTTAGTATGAATTCCATTACAGAAATATTTCAACGCGTACAAAATAATTTTTCCGAGTAGTGTAAAGTTAAGTTTAAAGTTACATAAAATTAAGAAAAACAGTCGTACCTTTTGACAAGATTGAGATAAAAATGAGGGGACAACTTTGTACGGTAAGTAATTAGTCAATTTGTAGTACATACTTAATTTGCTTCTAATTATTTTAAGTAATTTTTTAATTGCTAAATTATACTATTTGTATTACTTGAAGTAAAAATTTAATGAGCGTTTAAATTTATCAATTCGATCGTTAAGTAGCGTGTAACTAACTATTAATTAAATTAAATTTAGTTTTATATCAATATATACGAAAGAAAGCTCGTCTCAAAAGTTAGGCAGCTTAAGAATAAATTTCAATTTTGATCTTTAGTTAAGAATAAATGTCATGATTTTGGTTTTTAAGACAATGATATGTTTTTAATTGCAGAAAATCCAACCTGACTCTGTCCACTTAAATGGTTGGACCTTCAGGGTACAAAATTTGCCATAATTTAACAATGCAATTATTTTCTGGTAAGAAAAGAAGTCCAACTGTTACAGCTTGTTTAGAAAATTTGAGCTATGCAAAGAACGCGTTGCGATTTTCTGATATCTTTTTACTAATAAATAATAAAATATATAAGTAGGGAAACGTCCATATATTACGTCATCATTTTAGTTTGTGAGTGGTTTAGATCTTCCTACCCTTCCCATGTTAAAATTCCTTATCCCTTAATGTTTACGTTGGGTGGGTGAGGGTTAAAGTCGGGAACTATTTATGATGGAATTTATGAATGGCCCCTAAATATGAGGAAATGATAACTCTCCAACCATTCAGGTTTTTCTAAACTCAATAAGCTTGCTGGAATTTTATTGCCAAAATTTAATTTGAGAAAATAAAAAAAGTAGGACAAGTGTACTTTAAGAAGATTTCCTTGATGGTAAAATTTTGAGGTAGCAGGCTAAAGATAGGTGTTTATATGTATGTAACTTTCACACGTTTTTCGGGTCACAAAGAACTTCAATTATGAATGCCTTTTTCAAATATGGATCTATGCTTTTGAAAATAATTCAACCTTTTTAAAGAGAAAATGGACTCTTAATTTTGCATGAAGTAACACAATTTAAATCAATGGTAGACTCTCATCCAAATTCCAAATGTATAATGTTAAGATAATTCTTGATTTAGCAGTGTACTTAATATAAAATTAAGAGGGCATTCACTGTTCACAAGGGTAGCATTATCTTTTGTAGTATTGTAAAATTGACAATTTCCCGTTTTGTATTTCAGATTAAATGAGACTCTCCCATTCATCACTGCCCCACGCCTGGAAATCTGGAAACTACAAAATATGTGAACCATCACATCCAGGATCGCCTTAATTTGTTAACAACCCTTCGCGAAGTTACCTTTTCTAAACTCTCCTCCAGTTCCTGGTCCTGCAACAAGTAATGTCTCATCTTCTAGTTCGCCTTAAATAGGTTAATTCACCTTAGCAAGAGAAATTTGCACGGATCTCTTTACATACTTTTTTTTAAAAAATTAGGGATAACTGCACAAATTATTTTAGCGAATTTTGTCAACAAAAATATTAAGTGGTCTTATTTATTTTTTTAGAGTTTGGTAAATTTATCTGGTTGAGAAATCCAGGTTTTATGGATTTATAAATAAGTCATCTGTCATGTGACTACAAACTGGAAAAGGTGGGCAGAATATTAACTAATTTGAACTGGGTTTCTCCAAGAAGTAAATATGTATGTAATGTAAATGATTTCGCACATTCGCAAATTTACATTGATGACTTCCTCAGAAAAGCGAAAACGAAACACACTTCGCAATTGAGAAAGTTAGGAAAGGGCTCGAATTTTTCAATGGGAAAAATTCATCAGAATGCTGAAATTTGTACATCAGCATTCCCCTCATCCGTTTCAATACGAGCATGTAGAAACTGATAGGTGATGGATGCATCTCACAATGGAGCAACACATCTCCGCGACAAATCTTCACGCACAATTTTCGGAAAAATATGTGGAAATGCTATTCCAGCAAATATACACATGTACGTAATACTAATTGAATAACATTGCAGCTCGCCATTTTACGCGCGCAGGTATACCTGCCTCTAACGCAGGGACTATCTGTAGTTTCCGATAGTACATAAGTGAATGTTAATTTTTAAATGCAAAATTTTTCCGGATATTCAGCCTTCATTGAAAAGTTATTTTGTCCTTGGTTATTTTGCCATAGAGTTCCGTTTTCCGAAAGAGAGAAAAAGCGTAGGTGTGTCGCACAGTTTCGTGAAGTTCAATACCGATACTATTCCTGCAGATAATGTTAGAATCTAACAGATAGATAGCTCCTAATGTAATGTGGCTGATCTACAGTGTTTGAAATGCTATTCGAGATATAAAATCCTCTGCTTGCCTGCAATGGTTCTGAATGATACCTGGACCTTTATTCTCATCTATCGAGTGGACATATGTATGTAGTAGCTGTAGAACTGGGTTTATATATTTTGACGTTCAGCATGAGTAGGTATACTATTCCATTCGTTTGTCATTAATAGACACAGGTTTGTCGTCACCCAAAGAACGTACTGACGATTATCGCTAGGACCCGTTTCTTCATTCTTCATATTTACTCTTGAACTTTTAACATTTTTAAAAATAATACAGCTCAGCCATGAGAATATTCATCTTTATTAAGGGGTGAAAGCCCTTTATAAGATCGTTATGTCCGTCTGTCCGTCCGTCCGTCCGTCCGTCCGTCCGTCCGTCCGTCTGTCTGTCCGTCCGTCTGTCTGTCCGTAGCTCCGATAACTTTTGAACGAAAAGACATAGACACTTGAAATTTTAAACGTAAACTCCTAACGTCAATGGACAGGACGAGTTCGAAGATGGACACTGTGACATCGTCACCTGTGACGATGACGTCGTCACAGTGACGAAAAGTGACGAAAAAGTGTCACTTGTCAGTTTTGGCATGTGACACGTCATTTTTAACTAATTTTCAACGAGGAATTCGAAAATTCAGGTCATTTTGTGTTTGGACGTCACCTGTGACGATGACATCGTCACGGTGACGAAAAGTGACGAAAAAGTGTCACTTGTCAGTTTTGGCATGTGACACATCATTTTTAACTATTTTTCAATGTCAAATTCAATGGTGACCTCCATTTTGACCTCAGAGGTCATGTAAAGGTCATAGGACATATCTATTTCAATTTCAACTGAAATTTAACCCCGAATTCAATGGTGACCTCCATTTTGACCTCAGAGGTCATATAAAGGTCACATAAGGGTTATCAACTGTTAAATTTGACACAAATAAGACACAAAAGTCGAAAACACGTCAGAAGTGTCAATCTTAACAAATTTTCGAACAATTTGATATTCACATTGACGTATGACACTCCTTTCACCCCTTGGTTACATGCGTTGTAACGGTTTATTTATAGAACACCTTAGCATGTGGAGTTAACTATACCCGAAAAATTGTTTGTTAACTAACAGGTATACGTATCAACCTCGTCATTCGATTCATATGACGAGTTGACATATTTTTTTTATTACAGACTAAAATTCGTCTTTAAAAACTGAAATTGCTCCTTCACAGGTTGATTGCCATTTCGCTTTCCCCAAGGCACGGTTTTACTAAGGCACAAATTGGTAGTGGTAGTTTGCTAATTGTGTTAAATAAATGACAGAAATCTGCTGGTAAAAGGATAATGTTAAAGTCATCAATTGAAATTACGAGATTTTTGTGGAAGCGTATTCTGAGAAAGGTTTGGAGCTCCATAAACTCAGTCCCATTATCGGATTTTAGTCGCTTTAGTCGTTGCCTGTTTGATTCTTGAAAAACCGAGGAAAGTCAGACTTTCTCTTCAGGAAAGACACATGCAGAATTGTGTTAGGTCGCCCTTCCTCATCATGAAGTACTCTGCCCCTTCAAGACCCTATGTAGGCTTCCTCCCAGAAAATTCGACATGGGTCAACTCACTCTCCTTTGGTCTGGCTGAGTTGGGAAGGGAAGTTCCGTAGCTTTCCTCAATGGACATTTAAGGAATTGGTTTCCCTCGTCGTTCAAATCTATTATGGAAAGTCCACTCATAGCTGCGGCGAGGATCGATTTCTTGATATAGTGAGGGTTGATGTGGCCAAGCCGCTGATGCCCGTGGCTGGGTAATGTACGCCACCTCCTCTCTTGAAGCACTAACCTAATCAGAAATGCTGAAAATGGTACTTCGGCATTCCCTCTGTCCCTTAAAATGCTAGCCTGTAGAAATCGATAGGTTATCGAACTATTGATTTGAGGATTTTAGCTTCAATTGAAATTCTTTATAACCTCGATAAAATGATGGTTTCGCAAATCGATCGCAATTGATGGGTTCAATAAATGTTAAGTAATGTTGTTCCTCATAAACTCGTGCCTCTTTCATATACATACAGAAGCAAATTTTCCAGGCATGACAAGTAATACGCTTTGGCTTGTTTATAATTTTTCAACCCAGATAACTTTTTAGGATGGTCAAATTCCTTACTAACCGACTACTTAATAACTTAAATTAATTGGGCCAAACATGGCGTACTCATTAATGATAATGAAACAAAGAATGCAGCTATTTAAACGGTTTAGTTAAATTTGTTGTAGATTTTATGTTGGCGACAAATTGTCATGCCACAGGTTAAACAATGGTACTGTTTGCGATATGGGAGGGGGGCATTAAGATTTTTCCATACCATAGGCCAGTTGCTGAAGGGCTAATTACGTGCGAATCTACAATTACAGAAATTTCCAGTCTGTTCAAGGAGGGCAAGTACTTATAACTTCACAATGATTTCCTAGCACTTCATGAAATTTTGCACACTCGCTTATAGTAAATGGTACCACTATAAAACACTAAAAATAAACAATTCATCATTGCCTAACTCATACGTTACTTAGGAATAAGCCCCAAAAGAGTAATCAGGAGAATTAATTAGGTTAGGTTAGGTAATCCCCACCCTCGTCGAATAATGGCAATGGAAATAGCTTGAAATGGAAGGGAAGAAAACAAATCTCATGATATAGTGATATACATAGTTGAACGATTTCTTGATATAGTGAGGGTTGAGGTACATATGTAGGCTGGCCGCTGCCTTGGTCTGAAGCCCATAACATAGACGCCCCTTTTGAGTTTGGCTTGGAGGCCTAGCGTCGTCTTATGCTTGTAGAATTTTGCATCCAGTTAACTTGGCAGGATATTAATATTTGTGGTGGAAAACAACGTAACAGGGGGGTTTCGTATTAAGCGAATACGTTATTAGTAGGTAATGTACCGCTTCGCTCGAACTCAAATATAAGAAAAGGTCCATAAAACCATATACCTAGGTAGACAGGAGTGTTTACTCCAATAAGTTGAATCAATCTTTAAATTCAAATGTACGAAAGTTTTAACGTAAATAAGTATTTAATCTAAATATGCAGGTAACCGAAAAAAAATATTTGGCAAAAATGTATGATTTGTCGAATAAATATAGGTTTTTGATACCCTTGGGATAAATTTTATGTACATACATAAATAACGTCATGAATTAATCTGTGTCCCGTTAACTCCAATTATTCATTTCGACGGATTGTCTAAACTTTGAGGGAACGAAGTTAGGCATTGCAATCAATACGAGCAGCAGGGTTGTAGTGGTTATCTTCTAGGCCACGTTTCGTAAGCAAATATCTTCCGAAGGGAAAATATTGAAAATTTTTAAGGTAAGGTAAACTTAACATTGAAAACTATCTGAGATTTCCGAGATTCTTGCTATAAATTAATTACAATTTAATGCATACTATATTTGCAATTTAAAATATGTAATTAACTTGTAAAGTAATTAATCTATAATTAATAAAAACACTTTTTATCAGATCGACATGTTTGTATATTCTACTGTAACCGTATAATTAATAACTGTCGTAATCTATAACACTTTCATACGGTTGTATCCATTGTATCGATAAGCCGAATGCAGGAAATATAATTCACAATTCTTCAAAAATTTGCTCGACGACTTCTGAAAAATCAACAGTTACAGCTAAGGAGTTGGATATTCTCACTGGTTCACCGCTTACCTTTATTTCATGCTTTAGTTCAAACTATATCGTGGCCAGAAATTATCTGACCAGGTGAAGTATAGTCTCAAACAATTGTTCTTTTCACATGAAAAACATTTTATTCACAAAAACTCTTATAGTATGATATAAACTAACGTCCTGTAGGTCCTCCAGACGATTTTGCATGTCTTGAAATTTTTTCCTCAAATTTTCTGACAGATTTTCCAAAACAGTTTTCAGAATTATTTTCCAAGCGTTTTAAAAATGTTAGATCTTGGAAGCAGTATCACGTGGAACTATTTCGTAGACCGCCTTAAACTTAAGCTAGGGCCATAAATTTTTAATTTTGTTCATGTCCGGGGTG